CAATGTGGCTTATCAAGGTAGAAATGAGACACTTTATTTTAGTATGAATTTAAGTTAGATATAACAATACAATAACACTAAGTAATATTTGGGAACGAGGCGCCCGAGTATTGTCATAAAATCCTATGGGAATATTCCTTTTCTAAAGTTAGCGAGCGAGGAAAAAGAGACACTTTTCCCATCAAATCACCCCAAGTGATATAAATGTGGGCATCTTGCGGTGTCTAATACTTTGTTTTCATGAAATTGACGTTATTCCAATGATAGTATCTACGAATCAAGTATGGCATTGGTCAAAAACATTTATACTTTGTTCAAAACCAATTCTTGCAGCTATTGGATTAGGCCAAAATTTTGAAATCGAACAGTGTGGGGGGGGGCGTGGCGACAAGAAGTATAAACCACTGAAAGCTAGTCTCATTATAGTCTACCATGAGATTATGAATGCCGTGTGAAGATGCTTTAATATTTTTTTTTCGTCTGCAATTTACTTTATGATTATTGCTTTGCACTATAGTGCTTTAGTTTCTAAGGAGGAGGAATTCGAAGAAGGGGGGGGGGGGCAAATTCTGAACCCTACTATCCATTATCTTAAAGATTCAGACTGAAAATCATGACTATCACCTGAATCCAGATCTTATCTTATGTATAACTCGACCGATAGCCTCTATCATTTATGAACACATAAACATTTTGAATTTCACTTCAACTAGGCCTATGTATTGAGATTCACGTTAAATAGTTACAATGTTCTTGACTTTAAGTTAATTGATATCTGACATCAGTTGGAAACATCACTACAAGCGAACCAACTTTAATTTTGAACCAAATTAATCGTGACTTGATTAGATTCAACAACAAAAAAACGATACATCGAAACATTAGGTCCCGAAGGGTACAAATTAACTTACCTCGTTTCCTCCGAGCTGATTAACAGATGCTTAGGATCAGTGGATATCGCTCTGAAATTAAATATACCTTGCAACGATTTCTCTCTCTTTGAAACTTCTCTAAGGTGTCGACGCTATATAAGTGGAGAATGAAAACTAATGCATGACCAAACCCGCATCACTTCTGTTACAGTAATAGTCAATCTGATCGATGCGGATGTTCGTTACTAGGCACCGACCAATTGTCTTCGGCATCTCGATTGCACAGCTTTGCTGTGATCAATAGTATGATACGTAATGCACGCTCTGCATCGCCCCGAGAAAGTTAATTCCAAAATCAATTTGGTTAGATTGATAAATGATTTCGTGGGGCGAGCATGGTTTTTCACTGCCAAATACTCGAGATTTGCAGTATGCGTTTTTCATACAAACTTCAAATTTGAATATGATAATACCATACGCCTTGAAATTGTTTTTCTGAATATCTGCGGTTTATTATCCATAGCTTTGCATTTAAGTTACCTGGGATCTGTATTATACATACTGTACATGCTATAGATCTGAATCGTCCAATTAATCGCATATTTATAATTACATGCTGTATTAGGAGCTAAAGTTGAGTTTCTAACAATTCGGATAAATCGCAACATCCTATAATACAGGGAAAGAGAGTAAATTGAGAAAACTAAGAATATTATTTATATTTTACAGAGGCATAAGTATTACTAAGATATCTGCAAAGGTTTTTTTTTTTTTTTTTTTTTTTTTTTTTAATGCAGATTGTCTCCTGTGCCCCATTTATCCGCCACTTGTGTCATATGAATACCAGCACAAAGTTTGTCAGCCTGTAAGAGGAAACATTATACAAGTTAAATCCGCTTGCTAGTCGAAGATATCGCAATTAATATTTTCTCAATTCTTCTTCCTTTCCTGTTCTTTTCAAAGGTTTACGAGGTGTGAAAGCAGCACCCCCTCCCTCGAATGTCAAAATTACCCTTATTCGAAAACCGTCACCTCATATTCGGGTAGCGAGGTGGTGGGTTTTCTAGTTTCAATTCATGTTAAATATGACGGGGTAATTGTAACTACATTAAAGTGTCAATGTTTTAGAAACTGGAAAAACGTTGAAATTACATGCATTAAAGGTACAATGTCCCTTTTGCAGGCCAAAAAAATTAAAAGGGCAAATTCCAACGGCATTTGAAAGACAATTCTAATTTAGAACTTCCCTTAAAAAAAGGGGGGGGGGCTTGAAAATGTCTTTAAGTGGGAAAATAATGACTATCAGTTGTCGATTCGACTTAGGAGCTATAGAGCCAGTAAGTAACAGTCTGATTTTTCAGACCATTGTACCAAATGGCTGTACGTTTTATGCTGCGCAAAGATTCAATCAATTTAATTTTGGCTATTACAAGATGTGGGTTATTGATGTAGACAAATGCTCATGTACCCTTTACACCTCATTTTATGCATACATTACCAAAGATGAAAAAACCCAGTCAGTCACTCAATAGTGTCTGACAGTGAAGTCTAGCAAGTAAACGGGTTTCCTTGCATAATTTGAATATTAGGACATTGCTAACGTTGAACTTTCACAGATAGGACATACATGACATATTCATAATTCCTGCAAAGTTCTACAGAATATGATGTTAGCCGCAGAAGGGACATAGTATCTTTAACTTTGAAAGTACGTGTAAGAATTTTTTTTTTTTTTTTTTTTTGGGGGGGGGGGGATTATAGGAGAGTCTGGAATGTATGTATATGACTCATGAAAACAAGCCACAGCAGCATAACCATCCGAGAACAAAAACAACAACAAACCACTCCCCCCTCCAAACAAAATTTATATATATATATATATATATATATTAGAAAAGTGTAAGCACACAACACCCACGCGCGCCCTCCAACCCACACAATCACAACACAATTCCGAATATCCTAATCCAATGAAGGGTCTATTTTTATCGGTTTATTTTTTAATCAGAGTATACGTTCTGATAACAGTCTACACTTACCAGGAGCGTACGCAGGGGGTGGTTTTTGGGTTAACCCCCCCCCCCCTCGAGTTTTTTTTATGTGTATGTTTTATGTATGTTTTTTTAAACCCCCCCCCCCCTTTTGATTTTAACCCCCCCCCCCCCTTGAAAAAAATCATGCGTACGCCACTGACACTGACGCATAATTATGCATGGAGAGGCTAATTGTTAATTGTATTTACTTTACGACCCCGGGGCCTGCATTTGCCCGCTGTCAAATATTGACTGTTCAAAAGCAACAAGAGCCAACGATGTTATTGTTTAAAAAAAGAATAAATGATGGTGGTGGTTATTTTACCTGACTGCTAAGAAAGCATAAATGCTTGTAAGTAAGCAACCAGACGGCCGACGGATTTAGGTTCTCTCCGCCTTACCAAAGAGCACTAGCGCATCGATTTGGTTTCGAACCCGGGTCACCGGATTACGAGACCACTGCTCTACCGACTTAGCTATCACGCCTCCTCGATTGGCAGGTAGTTCATATAGAATAAAAATCTGTAATACAATAAATGTCATGGTAAAGTATGTTATATTTATGTCAAGTTCGGGGGGGGGGAGCAGTACCAAATTTAGAAAAGATGAATTAGAACAGGATTTTTCATTATAGGATTTGGAAAAGAAAATAGCCATTAGAATGGGAAAGCTGGGATTACATTTTCTAAAGTGGGAGCAATTTAGTATTTATTAAGATTCGTTTTCCTCTCCACCGTGAGCTTGTTAAAGTGTAACTCTATTTTGCGGCCTGGTTAACTTACTTATTTAGTGTGTGTTGGTGTGTTTGAGTGATGGAGGGGGCAGGGAGAAACAGGCATTGTACCGGTAAAATAACCTCCAGATTTGTTTAAGTTCTTTTTGTTTATAAGTGAATAACATTTACAATTGACAAATGAATTACGTTTAGGTACTTATAAGTTTACTTTGTTGCTAAGTTATATATACTGCAAATGAGTTTTTGTTTAATATGTTTAACGTTTATAATAATAATAATAATAATAATAATAATAATAATAGCCTAATAGTATGTTTTTGTTTGTATTACACATTTGGAGAAGAAAAGAATTACTATAAAAAAAGAAGTGCGCTTGTGTGAAGATGTGTGAGAGTGAGTGTATGGATTATGTCCCTGTAAGGGCGGGTAGCGTGTGGCGTTGGTATATTTATTATCGGCAACCGTGTAGTATTGATAATGATAATAATAATAATGATGACGATGATGATTATGATGGTGAATATGGTAATAATAATAATAATAATAACAATATTAACGATAATAACAACAACAACAACAATAATAATACTTTTACTACTGCTACTACTAACAATTTAATGATAATTAAGATAACAATAATGATGGTTATACTAATGAAGACGATCGTGAAAATTGATATCTGACACATGTATCTTTCTTTACATGGAGAACAATGAGAGACTATGTTTAACATGTTTCGTTTCGTTTTTTGCGATCAAAACTGTATCTGAACCTTAATAATCATTTTACCTATTTAATTTGCATAAAGTTGAGTCACGTGCAGCAACATTGGACCATTAAACGTCAAACAAGTTCAACTTATTTTAGATGAATTCAGCTATTTATTATTTAATGCTCAAACGTTTATAGAACAACACTCAAGAAATAGAAACAGCTTACATATTTTGCTATTTCCGGCACATGATTTTTTTTCCATTTTCGATATCGGATTGATGACTTAAATAATCCCAGCATATACATAGTGCCCCAGAAGTTCTAAATTGTTTTAAGGCGCGTCACACTGCAGTTGATACAACAAAGAATGAGCATGATTATAATCACAATTCTAGAAAATTTAAAGCTTAAAAATCTTCATGAAAGACAAATTTACCAATGCTGCTTGAAAGTATCGGCTTGCATGGTGATGTAGATGTACAGTAGGCTTGCGGGAGCACCATGTGTGTGAGAGAGAGAAGGAGGATTGAGGAGTCCTGAAAAGGACTTTCGGTAATCTTTCTTGAGGGCGTGTAGTCCTGAAAAGGACTGTTGGTGTAGTCTTGAGAAAGACTGTTGGTTATCTTTCTTAGCTTACATTTCTAAGGAGAACTATAGCGCTTGGAGAGGATAGGTGGCGGAAGTGGCTCGACGTTTCAAACACGTTGACTATCCGTACTTTTCAGTTCAGGACTACACACCCTCAAGAAAGATTACCGAGAGTCCTTTTCAGGACTCCTCAATCATCCATATCTCTCTCTCACATGGTGCATCCGCAAGTCTACTGTATAAATTTACCAATGTTACAGGTTTCCCTCTACGTATGCATAGTGTATAAGTACATATTAGACATGTAATCATTATGAATATAAAGAGGCAGAAGCGAAACGTTATGCTAAATACAGAAAAGAAAGACTAGATTTGTAAAATCAAGACAAGCTTATTTGACGTTCCCTTTGTACAACGAGTGTCTACGAAGTGTCTATTGCCATTATTTTTTTTCTCTTTCATTCTAAATTTTCTAAAAATCCCTCATTTTGATATAAATACGTGTAAGGTATAGGAATGATGAACTTTAAACTTTATTAAAATAGATAACATGGTTTGAAATGAAAGAGTCCATTATAAACAAAATTTAATACAAGCAAGGTGTAGATACTTATTTTAATTGAGAAGGTATTTCATCTATCAAATCATTAATGACTATGCAACGATAAATTGTCTTTTATATTTGGATCGTAACATGCAGGTCCAGCCATGCAATTAAATCTAAGTATATATATAAAGAAACTTAAAAAACAAGTGCTCAGGGTTACTACATTCTTAAATCTATTGAGTCTGGCCTCACGACGAAAGAGTGTCTACAATTTAGCTCTCTGCTCACTCTGTAAACAAGTGCAAAATAAAAGAAAGACAGATTTAAAGTGGATGAAGATGAAGAAAGAGAGAGAGAGAGAGAGGACAGATTGAAATGACGTAGTGACATTTAAAACCAATCAATTTCCAGTTTATTCTTCATGGACGCTTAATGTTTCAAGGAAATATTGCAAAGTGTAGCAAACGTACACAATAAATCATCAATGTAAATAAATAGTATAAATCAAGAACATATAAATAATTTATGAACAGAAAGTAATCTCAACCATTTTTTGCTTTAATAAGTTAGTAGAACTTTTGCAGTAAAATGTATTTTTGGGAAATTTTTATGGGGTTTTTCCTTTAAAGCAAATGCTATATTACACTTATAATAACTGAAGTAACGATGCCTCACATTTATAGCAAAGTTTTAATTTGCCATGAGCACTATTATTGCATCCTTTACTCTGATTCTGCTAATCAATGTACAATATCTTGTTTTTTTTATTTTTGAGGGCCTGTTTCATGTCCATTATTTGTTTTTTCTTTATTCTGTTCTTTCTTCGTCATGTAATTGTTTACAGTCATTACGTGTTTTAATAAATGTTGTCTCTGTTGGCCACTTATTCTTCTTTGAATGATTATGTATTCCATATTCTCGTCACACTCATTATTATCTGAGGGGTCCACAATTTACAAACCCTGCTTTTCAGTGGACCTCTCCATTTCCTCAAAATATAAATGCAGTTAAATTTAAAATATTCAATTTTTGTCTTCCTCAAATGTAACTATGTTTTGTACACATTTTACATTGTATTCGTTATTATGTATTGTATATTGTTGGAAATTAAAAAAATAAAAAATGAAATGAATTGAATATTATCCTATTCCTTCCTGATTTCATCTGAGCTTGCAAAATACCTTATGACCACATGTTTATTTAACAAGGGGGGGGGGGGCTAATGCTTTTTCCCGAATATGAACATGCAAGCTTTTTACCAATATGTTTTGGTAAGTTCTAATTTCGTCAACAAAATAAACTAGATAAGACAGCTTTTTCGAGCACTCAAAACCAGAATATGGGGTGATGGCTAGCCAAATATTGGTATTTTTCTTCTTGAGGAGCAGCCCCGCGCCTATGCCTATGCTGATGACTGCGAACAATTACTACCCCGAACAGCTTTGATCAGACCCAACGTTAAGATGATACTAGATGTTATTTCATTTAATTTATTCATTTTGTTTGGAAGTGAATTGGAAAATAAAATGACAACCTTAGAAGTGCCATTTATCATGACAATTTTACATACCAATTCTCCTCTACACAACCTGGTAACGTTCTTCCTCATACTGGACCTTTTCAGGGATTGAATCGTTAAGGTTTTTCTGAAAGAAAGTGGGGAAAAGGGACAACTAAATATATATATAATATATATATTATTTGAATAATCACATAGTGATTAAAAAATGAACAAGTCCTACATTTTCTTCAGTTAGGTGAAACCAGAAGTTATAACTTAGGCCGAACCGCGAGGAATCTGATGAAGTGAAATCGAATATCGCTAAGTTCAAGTTCAAGTTCAAGTTCAATTTTATTGATCATGCACAATTACATGGCATAAATAAAAGTAAATGAATAAGCACTAAATTCAGCTTGAAATTAAGAGATACATTTATCAACATGTAGTCACATGATATTGGTAGCAAGTAACAAAATGATATACTGTTTATATTTGTTAATTAAACTAAAATCCTTTGATGGAGAGTATGGGATTTTTTAATTTTGGTTAAAAAATAAATTGAGCCTTCCTTATGAGATTGTTATTATGAGACTAAACCGTAATCCTAAGCTGAAATTTATAATTAAATAAATAAATTCAATGTCAAAGTCCATTCAAGTTTACCACATGTGTCTTTTTTCAAGTTATTTAAAGTCGATATTACCTATAAATACATTACATGGCCTTCTTTACAATGGAAATATATCCATTACAACTAATACAATTGATCAGGAAATTGAGGGAACATGATTGTAATTTACAAAATAAAGCGATTTGAATTGAATAGACAGACCGTTAAGGGTTATTATGAAAGCTTTTTCATTTGCTTAAAGCAGAATGATCTAAATGTAGTTTAAAGAGAGACAACAGATCAGAATGGCGCCCTTATACGACATGGGTGCACTAGTTTACCACCATGTATTACCAGGGGCGGCCGAGCGACTTCCAAAGTGGGGGGGCACCAACAAAAAAGGGCACTTTCTGGAAAAAAAAAGGGCACCTACAGTGGGAAATCTCAAAGCGAAAATATACAATTTTCTAGACATTGGTATATACCCCTACATTGTGATTACATTATCAGGGATGATTTCAATATTTGTTTCTCTTCATACATCATACAAGATATCGCTTAAGCATCATACTTTACAGTTGGGTGTGATGTCTGAATATGCATTTACGAGCGAGCGAAGCGAGCGAGAAAAAATTTAAAGATCTGTGAGGTCGCAGTGCGAAAAATTACATCTTATAAAGAGGAAAAAAGCCAATCGTGATGGGGTTATAAGCACATTCTCATAACGGAAGACTGAAAAGACCTTTGATAAGTAACATAATTATATCATCTTTAAATGCGAGCGAGCGCAGCGAGCGAACTTTGGGGGAAATTGCTCTTAGTCGCTTTAAATAAGGGGCACGTTTAATGATTACATGAAAAGGGGACAATTATCGAAAGGGATAAGACACTTATTAGAAAAAAAAAGGAGCACGTGTCAAAGTACAAAGGATAATTATAAGAGGTGAAAATGAGGCATTTTTTCACCTGAAAAGAGGCACTCACCAGTCATGAAAAAGAGGCGTTTACGAAAATGGGAAATAGGCATTTGTTGACGGAAAAGGGGCACCCATCAGATTTTGATAGGGGCATTTATAAGAGGTGAAAAGGGGATAGGTCCCTTATTAGAAAGGAAAAGGGGTACGTATCATTATTAAAAGGGGAATTATCAGAGTTGAAAAGGGGCACTGACCAGATATGAAAAGGGGCACTTATGAAAATGTAAAAGGGACACTTATAATAAAGGAAAATGTGCATTTGTTGAATAAAAAGGGGGCACCGTTTAGATTTTTAAAAGAGGCAGTTATGAGAAGGGGAAGGAGCCCTTTCTTTTCAATGGGGGCACTTATCATAAGGAAAAGGGGCACTTATTAGAAAGGGAAAGGGGTAGTTATGAGAAAGGGAAGGAGCTCTCTCTTTTTAATGGGGGCACTTATCATAAGGAAAAGGGGCACTTATTAGAAAATAAGAGGGGCACATGTTAAAATGAAAGGTGTGCTCATCCGAGTTTAAAAAAAGGAGTAGTTATTAAAAGGAGAAGGGCCACTTCTTACAAAGGAAAAAAGGGGAAGTTGTCAAAGTAAAAGGAGCACCTCTCAGTTTTGAATAGGGCAATTATCAGAGGTGAAGGGGGCACTTATTAAAAGTGAAAAGGGGCACTTCTCGTACCTGAAAAGAGGCACTTACTAGAGATTAAAAAGGGCACTTATTCAAGATAATTTTAAGATTTATGAGAATGGAAAATGGACACTTATTGCAAAGGAAAATGGGAACATGTCGAAGGAAAAGGAGCACGTGTCAAAAATAAAAAGGGCACTCGTCAGAGGTAAAAAGGGGGAAGGGGCACTTTTACTTAGTAATAGGGCACTTGTCAAAGTAAAAGGGGCACCTTTCCTATGTAAAAGGGGCACTTCTTACAAAATAAAAGGGGCACTTTTCCTATGTAAAAAGGGGCACTTTTGGGGTATCTGAAAAAGTGGGGGGGGGGCACTGTGCCCCCCCTGCCCCCCCGGGAGAACCGCCTCTGTGTATTACCAACTAGACTTAATCCTTGAACATACCTTGCTCTCGGAAGCCGCCGCCGATTTCAAGATATTACCGGTCGAGGTCCTACGACTGAAGACAACGAGGACGAGAACGATCACCAGCATGATAATGACGACGATTACGCCAGAGCTCCCTCCGATCACGATCTTTGCTGTGCTTGACAGAGCGTTGTTGGGTCGACCACCCACTGTAAAATCGATTTTGAAATCAATAGCATTTTTGTTTATTAGGATACACTTCTGCCCCAAAAGCTGGAAAGAACCTTTTCCTACCTCTTTTCATGAAATGATTATGACGATGTGATTTCATTCTTTTTAAATAAATGTATCTTCTAAGAACTTGAGTGATCAATTCATAAGACTCTTTAGATTGATTAATATAGTTTTGAGAAGATGTAACCTTTAACCTTGTTTTTGCAAGATGTTAATCTACATTCGCCACACTCCACCCAGGTGAGGAAAATGGGTATCAGGTAGGGAGAAATTCGTTGAATGCTTGAGCGCCTTTCATGTTAAAACGGCAAAGGCCGAGGTAATAATATGATTGCAGGGTCCTCAGGGAGAACAGTATTAAAACTGACGAGGCCCTGGATAAACAAGACATTATTATTATCATTATTATGATTAAACCACAGTTTTCACAATCACCTCATAGCCCCCCCCCCCCCAAGAGAATAGTTTCTTCATTCAAGAGTTGTAAGGACACCTACCCCCTGGACATCCACCCCATGCAGTCAACTACCCCCTAGGGCAACCGCCCCTAGGACAACTACCCCCAGTCAACTACCCCCTCGAGAAGTACCCCAAACAAGTACCCCCTACTGCAACCATCCTATAGGTCACCTACCCCCGGACAACTATTCTAGGGAATAGTTTTCCGGGGTTAGTTGTCCGGTTGGTAGTTGTCGGGGGTAGTTGTCCTAGGGAATAGTTGTCTGGGGGTAATTATCCGGGGGTAGTTGTCTTAGGGGGTAGTTGTCCTTGGAGAAATTGTTTGGGGTAGTTGTCCGGAGGGGGGGGGGGTAGTTGTCTTGGGGGTAGTTGACTTGGGATGGTTATCCGGGGGTGGATGTCCAGGGGGCAGTGTCCGGATACGGTTGTAAGGAGTGACACATTCTTGTCTTAAAGTGATGTCATTTTCTTACTTTTTCAAATTGTTCATCACAGTATGTGTTTCTAATTTAAGGGAGACACACACATCGAAGAAGGGGGGGGGGGGGGCATATAAGGCCTAACATATGCCTATAATATATAATATATAATATATAATATATAATATATAATATATTATTACCCGTATCAGACATCTGAGCTGGTCATTTACAAAACCGTATTGCCCTAGTTTTCACTAGCAGTGGGAACGGAGGGGTATATTCTTTGTATTTTCCTTGGTCTCCCTGCGCGTATTGACTTTGCGTGTAGAGACGAGTGAAAATATTTAAACGTCTTTGGAAAATATACCTTGGTATTTTCCACGGTCTCGCATTTTCATTGCGCATCTATTAATATTATGCGTACGAGAACCTGCGCACTTTGCGCGCACTGTATTGTGACGTAATAATCAAACCAAATACACACTGTTTGTAGTGTATCGAAAATTTTGTCAAGCACTGGATGCAAAGTGTTGGTTTGACAAAGTTTGTTCAGTTCTTGAGATTGTCATGGTGGATGTCTGTATTTGCTCTAGATGTCTGATTTGGATAACAATAAAAATATTGACTGGCTTTACTTTCGGGGGATATCAGAAATATTGACCGCGATAAGACCATATTGCCCTCGTCTTTCGACTCGGGGCAATATGATCTGAGCTTGGTCAATATTTCTGATATACCCCTCAAGGCCAGTCAATATTATATAAATATAATATATAATATAATATAATATAATATAATATATAATATATAATATATAATATATAATATAATATAAGGCCTAACATATGCCCTCATATTTAAGGAAAACTGAGAACGTTTTCTTGTCACTTTGTTTTGCCCCTCAGAAATTTGCATGTATCATAATTTTTCAAGATTCCCCCCTTGAAATGGGATAATTTTTCTTCTAATTTAATTTCTTACTTCTTTTTGTTGGTTGCTGTTGCACGTCAGCAGTTTTCAAAACAGTATGGCTACCTAACGAAAAAAAAAGTATGGCACAGCTGGTGCAAACCGCTATATCTGATTTGTTAAATCCACTCAAAGAGGAGGGGTATCGGGCAACACAATCATAGGCACCCCTCGTGTGCGCGCGCGCACACACACACACACACACACACTATAAAAAACAATTACACTAACAATAATTACAACAAAACCTTTGAATGAGCTGTGGATTTTAGTTCGAGACATACCTGGCTTGCAGAAATCATTTTCGCATAAACAGATGTAATCTGCAGGGTCGTCAGTTTCAGGTACACCCCTGCAAGTCTCATCTAACCCGCATGGATTAGGAAAGCAAGGAACAGTATCTAATAGAAGCATTAGGTAGAAAGAGTAAAAAAAGAGAAAGAATGAAAAAGAGAGATTTAGAGAGAATGAACGAGAAAACAAAGTAAACGAATAGCGTTAGAGTAAAGAGAGAGAGAGAGAGAGAGGGGGGAATAGAGAAAGATACAAGAAAGAAGAGAGAAAGAAAAAATATAGAGAAGAGATATACGAAAGGATTGAGAAAAAACAGAGAGGGAGAAGAAGAAAAAAATGCTGAATATTTAAAGGTACTATGTCCCTTTTGCAGCCAACTTTAAATGCTGTAGAACTTTGCAGGAATTATGAATATGTCATGTATGTCCTATCTGTGAAATTCAAACGTTAGCAGTGTCCTCATATTCAAATTATGCAAGGAAACCTGTTTACTTGCTAGACTTCACTGTCAGACACTATTGAGTGACTGACTGGCTTTTTTTCTTCTTTGGTAATAACATACATGAAAAGAGTTGTAGAGGGTACATGAGCATTTGTCTACATCAATAACCCACTTCTTGTGATGGCCAAGATTAAACTGGTTGAATCTTTGCGCAGCATAAAACGTATGACCATTCGGTACAATTGTCTGAAAATCAAGACTATTACTTTTAGGCTCTATAGCCCTAAAGTCAATTTGACAACTAATAGTCGTTATTTTCCCACTTGAAGACATTTTCAAGCCCCACCATTTTTAGGGAAGTTCTAAATTAGTATTACCTTTCAAATGCAGTTGGAATTTAACTTTTTCATTTTTTGGCCTGCAAATGGGACATAGTACCTTTAAAGCCTGCACTTATGACTTGTTATTAAAAGCAGCTTTTTTGCTTATTTATTAGTAGGCCTTATTTTGGGCTAGAAGTTATAGAAATATTCATTGATACAATTAATATAACTGGTTGTCAAAGGAAAATGAACGCACCAAAGAATTGTTCGTCTTGTCTAGTTGTACTACTCGTTCTTTTACTGTTAATGAGATGTCGGACTTGTTGTTTTTATCTTAACAAATAGCAGCGTTTGTATGTACGTTTACTTTATTCTTGTTACTGGATTATGCTAAAGCAGGTGCCACGTTTTGAGTAAAATTTTCTAACTAATATACTAAAGAGTGAGCTTACCGATTTCGCATCGAGAGCCTGAGAAACCAGTGGGACAGAAGCATTGATATGTATATGGGTCCGAATCTCTGCACAAACCTCCGTTCATACACGGGCTAGAGGTACAGGCACCATCAGCTTGAAGAAAAAAAACAGAATGAAATGAGAGATTTTAAATTGTGTCGGATACGCTGCAGAAATAATTCATCCTACATGTATAAACTTATGCTACATTACCGCAGGCAAAATGTTGCCACACCTTTAAAGTGAAAGTATACGTTGTCATCGAGATACAAGAATTTACCAAGCTATAGAACACCTCACTGCCTGAATAAGATATGCCCGTAATTCTCAGGTGTATGTTGGGGAGGGGGGAGGGGCTTACTCCGATCACTGGACTTAATACGCTTTTTTTTTCGGGAGCGCCCATGCTAATCCAACCACAATCACGTTCCCATCCTACCGGGTACCCATTTAGAATCTGAGCCGAGAGAAGAAATGTATATAATAATCCTTGCTCAAGGACACAACTGCTTTGCCGAGGCTCGAATTGATGACTTTGCAGTTAAAACCACTTGACTACGCTACCTCTACTACTATTACGCCACCTCTGCTAAATGAACCTTTCATCATATGTTCTTTACCTTCTTGGCAGAGATCACCGGAGTAACCCTCTTTGCAAATACACATCTGAGAGTCATCTACGGCAATACAAGATCCACCATTCAAGCAGTTCCAGCCAGAGCAGGGGTCAAATGTATCTGCTAGGGAATTCAATTAATTCAACTCACTGATTTAAAGGAAAGAATTTTGAAAATGTTAAAGTGTGATTTGGTCTATCTTAGTATCTTTTCTCCAGCTTGGAGGAGGATCAAACATATTTCCACACATCTCATCTCTTGTAGTGTCAATCTACTCCAGGTTTCTATGTTTTCCTCCCAGTTGGTTCTCCGCTTCCCTATCGGTCTAGTACATTCTTCTGGCAAGTAATAATGGCACTCATTCATATAATTTGGCTCATTAAAGTTATCATCCATATTCGTGGTGAAAGACATGTGAGTTCCCTCGGTGCACTACCGGGTGCAATACTGGACACTGGTACAATGTGCTAGCAAAGATAACGATTCTGTCTGATAACAAATTTATCTTGTTTAGTTGATACTATACAGAATGCAAGAAAGAAGAGAAATATTGGAAAGAACGATGTCCATTGTCATACGAGTATCAGTAATATGAATAATATCTTATGGTCACTGGATGCAGACCAATCAAGCACTGCATTAATTGAACTCAGTATTATATGAAATGTCTAATTAAAATGGAATTTCGAAATACACATGATTGTCGAAAAAGAAAAAAACTCCGTAATTTCCGTGTGCTAACAATTGTAAAATTTCAACGGACCAAATTTTGCTTTAGCAATAAGACAACGGGTAAACAAGATCTCTGTGAGGAAAATGACACGAATATATCAATTTCGTCACAAAACGGACTGGTACTGTTTATGTACAACTAAGTATAATAGGTTTACTCGTATGCCTTCCAAAGTTGAGATTTTTGGTTGTTGTTTATTTTGTTGATTTATGTGACCTTTAGTCCCTATAGACATAACACACTAGACCCGTCACTGATAATTGATTTCAGTTTTAACTGGAATCGTTAAGTTATGTCTCATTGAGGTTTTCATTATAATCAATATACTTTGCTTTTATATGCCGTTTTACAGTTCAAAGGATGATAATACTGGTATCTGGTTTGATTTAGCTACCTACTTTACATTTTGTTTGGATGTAATGTGCCTTTTGGGGGAGAATTTGTTGACAATGATACTATATATTTACTTTATGCTTCTATTGTGTTTGGTTTTGTTCATGACAATAGCGATATCCCTAATTGTTGTCAAACGTAATGCGATCATAATGTAAAGTACTAGGTATTTCTTTTGTTTTGTTCTTTAAGCATATCTCTATTTTGTTTTGGTTTGTTTTGGCTTGTTTTGTTTGTTTGTCTGTTTTGATGATAATCTTTTCATTTCAGGATTTGATTTCAATAAAATATTTGAATGTGGTTTTGCATAGAATATTATTTGCTTCCATATAGATATTCACTATTCAATGGGTAGAATGAACAAACGCTGGAATTAAACTCACAGTTCAGACACTGTTCGCCGGTGAAGCCAGGGGCACATTGGCACATGGGGAAGTCTGCTGGAGCAATACACGTCCCATCATTGTAACATTCAACGTCCCGACATTGATCCACATATATATCTGGGAAAGAAAGTTAAAGTCAGCAGTCAGCTAAAAAAAACGCCAAAAATCTTCATAACGACAATCGAGAATGAATGCATAAATTAATAAACTGATTAAATCAAATGTCAACTAAAACCTACTGTGTTAATTTCCGTATTAATACACAGTGTAAGAAAATGGACAAGGGGATTGTATCCCTTTCAAAAGAAACTAATGGTGAATAAATACATCAAAAGCAATATAGAGCAAGTACTGTATAAAGTAAAAATTAAAAGACGCTAAAAAGAAGATTCCAAACAGGAAATTTGTTTTGATCTCTAATTTGGAATTCACTTACGATCATCTTATTAAGGAACTAACTCTGGTATAAGCCGTTAAGCGCTTTATCATTGGATGTCCATGTACATAGTTAATTGAAGTTCCTTAAGATGATCAGAATTAACCCCAAAAAAAATCATTGATGTTTCTAATCAAAATCTATTGCTGTACGTCCGATTTCTCTGTGAAAAACTGAATTCTTAATCGCTTAATGTACAATGTATAGACTACAGCAGAAAAACAGGGCAGTTAAAAGAAAAAACCACCAAACAAACTAACAACTCTGTATTAAATAGACGGGACCACATTCCTAGAGGAGTTGAAAATCAACATTACACTACAGTTAAGCCGATCAGCTCTAAAACAGTTGAACCTCCCTATCAGAATACAGGCCATAGCGGTTTGTAAGTTTTCGATTGATTGGAGGACAATCTGCAACCCTTTACAATTTTCCAGTTTATCAGAACCAACAACTATATACATTTGTAAATTTCGTGTCTTTGTTTCTTGTTTGTATCTGATATACCTCTTCTAACATTGTTCTTCTTGGAGAACATTATGTGTCTCTGATGGAGCTACCCTGTATAAATGAAGCTTAATGATGGTAATAACAATGATAATAATGATACTGATGATAGGACCCAGATATTGAGAATAAAAGTAATGAAATCTCTTTTTACCGATACGACATCGCGGTCCAAAGAACCCCGGCGGACATTGACATGTCGGACCCCAAGACTGCATGTCACATGAGCCACCATTGTAACAGAAATCTGCACATGCTGTCGTGTTTATGCCTATAATAAACAAATAACTATTTGTTAAATAAATAGGTTGATGCTTACATATATTAACAAAAAATTAAACTAGTCAGGGTATATTTACAATAGAATGATTTTTGTTTACATTGATATACTGAGTTCGATCGTTGAGCAATCTCACTTCTAGAAACTTTGCTGACAAGATGTAAAGTGAAGAAAGCTGCAAAGTAGAGGGAAGTAAAAAGGTAAAAGAGATCAATATAAAAAATAAAATGAACAACTTGGTTACAGTGTGTTCCGTAGTATCCTTGGGCACAAACACAGATAGTCCAACCGAAAAGCGACATACAAGATCCTCCATTGTTGCATTCAAAGTCAGTGCATAAATAGTCAAGTGGTCCTACTAATGGGAAAGAAAAAAAACGGCAAAAGAAAAATATTGGAAAAGAGGAAAATTAACTTTAACGAGATTACCCTCTTGAAATACGAATGCATACTGGACAAAAAGGGGAAAAGTTCAATTTAAGGATATAACCTTCTTGAAATACGAATGCATACTGAAGAAAAGGAGAAGAATAGGACTGAAAATTGGGAGGGAGTAAGAGAGAGAGAGAGAGAGAGAGAGAATGGGGGAGAAAGAGAGAGAGAAAGAGAGATGGAGAGAGAGTCCATGGGATGAGATACAAAGATAGGAGTGAGAGAGAGGTGAATAATTTTGATGGGTAAAGAGAGAGAAAAGCAGCAACTATGAGTGTAAACGAGTACAATTTTGCATCGAATATCAACTTTCTCATTTAGAAGAAAAAACATTCTTATGCTTGAAATAATATTCATCATCAAAATACATTGGTCTTATCCATAAGATAACACAGTGTGCCACCACACTGCTCGAATATGACACTACTTGTGAACCTCGCAGTGGAAAATGAAGTGGAGATTGCGCGAATATTGGTATTTAAACATTATCGGAGGAGGGGGAGGGATGGAGGGGTGATGAGATGCATCGCCTGCATCGCCTCATAATAAACCTATGGATGTAGTATATATATGGGAGAATGTGTTGATACAGAAATATGGTTTTGTTCAGTTAGGGCAAAAAAAAATGTTTTACAGTTTCAGCCGTTAGAAAATGGGCTCGGGTCTCCTTTAAGCACGCGATGTGCCATGCTCCTGATGCTCTAGACGAAACTAAACAAGTTAAAGGAAAAATTACAGAGCATTTGTCGATATGCATTTGTTTTCCTCCTTTATCCTTTTGTCCATGAAGCTCAGATAGTATATTTTAGTTGATGTGTATAATTGATATGCATTAAAATATATATAATTCCATATGAATAACAAATATTCAAGTTTCATGAAAATTATAATTTATCAATTTTTCCACATCCATCAATTTTTCCAGTAACGTTGAACGTATAAGTGATATTAAAAATCAGTTTCTGGGAGTCCTTACAAAAGCATTTCGACATTTTGTGAATCAAATGGCCAGAAGCAAAAAATTGGAACATTTGTAAATATTCCCAGTGAATGCTTTATAACACTCCTAATAATAAATTCCCTTGACGAAGGACGATTGAATTCAGAATAGTTTTTAAAAAAATTTAAAAATTACAAACTGCAAAATAACGCTTCATTACTCTTCAAATTTATAATTTTTCATCAATGTGAAGGACCAGCCTTTGTATCAAACCCTGTTAACCTAAGGCTGCATAAAAGATCTGTGGATATTTGGGGTCATTTGTACCATGTGCTATCTGTAAACTCCCTTATAGAACCTGGGCCGAGAGCAGCAAATGTCTCGTCAAAGGGCATGAGTGCCATGACGAGCTCGAATCCACGACCCCTTGGGCCCGTCTTAAAAAGAGTTGAAATTAATCGTAAACTTGCGATTGGTTGGAGGGCTTGCGATTGATTTGGATCAATTGCAACTCTTTATGAGACGGGGTCCTGGTCTTGGGTTAAATCCTCCAGGTGTTCCTTCTTTGTTTTTCTCCACATGACAGGTTGTTCGACCGGCACATCCTCCAAGGAATATCTGTTTTTCTCCAGTAAGGCTAAATTACTTACTATAAAAGGTATCAATACTGTCAATACTATACTTGTAAAAAAATGTTCAAATTATGATTTCCATAGTTGTTCGAATGAAGAATCCTCCAATAAATATAACATGACATGATATCGATCACGCTAAAATAATGAAAACTTACAGTTTTGCGATGCATTTTCAGTGTTAAAGAGAACTCACGTTCCTGACAGAACTCCCCACTAAATCCAGGATGGCAAATACACATCGGGTCGTCTGCTGGAGCAAAACAGCTACCACCATTATAACAAAAGATGTTGTGACAAGGATCTCGAGCTATATGGAAAAAAACATGAAGTTAAAAAACTAAACTGAACGATGACAGATGCAACCGAATGATTACAACATTTAAGAGTAATCAACAAGCTTCCTGATGCATGGACTTGCTGAAAACAGCGTTTGGCTGACGCAATTGTTTCCATGTTGATATAAAATAAATTAAAGAATGTCACTACTTTCATTTAGAAATAATCACCCAAACAGGTAATTTCATTAATTAGTAATTTTATTAATGGGGTAAAAAAAACAAAAAAAAATCTGCACGTCTTAAGCAAAATTGACCCATTTAAAGGTAAAATTAATGTCCATTGATATGGACCATATCAAAAAGTTGTATTCGTATCGCTTTCAAAAATAATCCCGTAAGTGTAGAAATCATTACGAATCAGTAGAGTATTTTCAAAAACACTTATGTCACCACCGGTAGAATTTTGCTTTTTATCATCTACCAGATTTATAGCAACATGTATCTGAAACAAATGTTAAATACTACTTTAAAGAACAATCGTCCAAGAAGGCTCGAGGTGAAAAACATATTCATACCACATTGAAAATAGACTAAATCAATACCAAACTCAAAATAGACAATATCAATATTGCGTTGCCTTCCTGTCATTTCAATAATCATACTGCCCTACTTACAATATTCACACCCGTGTCCGTAGAACCCAGGTCTACATAAACAGGTTGGACCAGTGGGTTGCATTTGACAGGTTCCACCATTGATACAGTGAATGTCACAAGACGTTGCGTTTGATCCTACAGACGAAAAGAAAAGTAAATTATGTATGTGGAGCAAGTAATAAGGTTATTCAAACAGAGTTACTCCCACCGTTTCATGAATTCAATTTTAATAAAAATGCTCAGACACACAGGTGTCCAAACCTAGCTTAAAGTTATGAGATTCACTTTTTTTCCTCTGTCGTGGGAGTATCGAATCGGGGGAGTATCTCACGGTATCAAACTACTCAGCTCAAAGATGTAACAATTCATGGATGAATAATTGGTGAAATTTAGAGTTGCACAAATTATCTTTTATGGGGAATTTGAAAAAATTGCAGCAAAACAGGTACACCAAAAAAGAGGAATTTAACACGTCAGATTTGAACTTACATGTACTTAAACACCTCTCCTAAATTAACATTTTAGGCCAACATAGCCGACTTATATATTTACAGTCGGTCATTCTATAAAGGTCGGACGAATATTCAGACACATTGTGGAGCCTCATCTTGTTTGATTTGAAAAGAGTCATTTTCCAGTGCAGTATGACATCTGGCGTTGGTTATCACTCCATCATAGCAAAGTAGCCAAAAACTTAAAGATGTTTATGCGTGGGTATAAAGTCGTTCGTGAAGTAGGCAACTTGGCGATGCTTACATAACACTGAGCCAATGGGTATTACGCTCCCGTGCGTTCTTCCGCGTGCTGCCCTCTATGTACCCACGCTTAAGCAACTATAAAGTAAAGAAAATATTGACAATATATATATTTTTTTTTGGGGGGGGGGGGGGGCTTGTGAGAAAACTGAGACAAAAAGGAGGAGGAGGAAAGAGACAAAAGAGGTAAAAGGCAACATCGACACACATCATCAGATCAACCTGTACGATGTACATGCCGAGTAGAGGAGAAATATGAAGACTTTCTTCAGTACCAGCACCGGCAGCAGCTAGCTGTATATCGCATGCATCATGTGCATGGATTGCATATGCACTGTACGTACACTACAAATGTTCATGCAGACTTCCTATGACTATTATTATTATTATTAGTAGTAGTAGTATTAATATTATTATTATGGTATTACGCGCGGAATTCCGAAACCGCTCCGATGTACACACTCAGTTTTCGTCGGGAGATTAATGCAGTGTCCGTGTGCTGCCCTCTAGATACCCACGCATGAACTTCTTTTGTATTGTTTAGATGTGAATGTAAAATCATAGTCTATATAATAATATTAACATGCAAATTTTTCAAGTATTGATTTTGTTATTGTTTGTGAAAAGCAATTTAGAAAATGAAATATCATTGGAGAGAGAAAAAAAAGGAAAAAAAAATTGTCAAATATGGTCTAGCGCCATCTTTTGTTTAAAACATTATAGGAATATCTTCAACACTCATTGCCATTGGTCTTTTCTGTTACAATATTTTAAAGTCGCAAACCGATGCAACTTTTAAGTTCTCAAAAGTTTAGTTTAGTTATTGCATAGTATATTGTATGTAATGTTTATACCGTGTATACATGAATTACATAGGTTCACATTTAGTTTATATTGAATAAACTTGTGATCAAATGAGTTTGTATTTCATATCCATTTGAGTTGTCCATAATGCATCCCATGAAAAAAAAAAAGATTACATGGACAAAATATGAGGCAAATAGGTTTTTTTTAAAGTTTTTTTTTTAATGCTTTTTTATGTTCATGCCTTTTTCATGCCTTTTCTTGATGTAAATAGTAAAAGCTCTTTTGTATTATTTAGCTGTGAATGTAAAATCATATTCTAGATAATAACATTAACATGCAGATTATTTTATGTATTGATTTTGTTATTGTTTGTTATTATAATTTTTGTACTTGTTTGTGAAAAGCAATGGAGAAAATAAAATATCATTGAAAAAAAAAAAAAAAAAAATTCTTTGATTTGTTTGAGCGTAGTCTAAAATTACCCCGCCCTCTAGGACATATACCTCATTCCACCTATGGTCAATACCGCCTAACTACCCCGGAAAATAAACACTTTGGGTAATTATTAATGGGGGGCGGTTGACCTAGAGGGTGGTTGTCTTAAGGGGTAGTTAGTGTTGGGGGGGGGGTTATCTTCCTAAATGGGTAATTGTTCCGGGGGGTAGTCGTCCTAGATGGTGGTTGCCCTAGGGGGAAGTTGTCCTAGAGGCTGGTTATTCTAGGGGTGGTTATCAGGAGGTTGGTTGTCCAGGGGTAGGTGCCCTAGAACCAAACATTGTACATCCGACCCCTTTAACCAGAAATTGCACAAAATCTTTGGAGGATCATTCTACTACGGAAATCATAATTGGAAATTCTGATAAGTAGGCCTATAGTGTTGACATTATTGTATATGTAACCTATACTTTATGTTCGGTTTGTAATCTTACCACACACAAAAAAAAATATATTTACGAAAGCTTTTGTTTCAGACTGTGAACTATAGGTGACTAAATTTGGTACTACGTGGATCATTATATAAGAGAGAGAATTAGCCCCCCAAAAATATTTTGGTTGTCCTCGATTGCTTTTTTATGGTAGGGGAGGGCGGGCGGATTTTTTTTCTTCATTTTTTGAGGGTCTTTTTTTTTATCCCCCCCCCCCCCTCATTTACAAAAAATCATTGGGATGTCAAGTATTTAAACAAACGAAGTCAACAAAACACTAGTTAAATGTACAGTGAATATCAAGACCAACACAGAAAGTATTTTTGGCTTTGAAAAACAGCACCTTTTTGTATCCCCACTGTACTACTTAAAACTGCTTGCGCCCTCTATACAGCAAACAATGCCTAATCGGTGACCATTGGTCCCCCATGATCCTCTTTATCTTATGTTAACTGAGAGCTGATTTGATGAGATAACCAGCTGTACAGTGACCTTGCAGGGGGGTGTCTAATCCCTCATGTAAACTAGTACAGATGGGCTTTAAAATGAGTTAAAGAATGCTCAGAACTCAGAATGAACGGCATTTTGACATAGAAAAATAAAAATGGCAATTTTAAGAAGTACAGAATTGCGTACTGAAAAGACTAAACTAGCAACGGGACGGATTTTCATCCTTTCAAAATGCATAAAAACCCAATAAACAACACACTAAAAAGTAACCTCTTTTGGGAGTGTATTTTAAGTGATTTTAAAGTATGGTGCCCTTTGAGCTAAATTTAAACGTTATCGACACGTGCTTTCATTTAAAAAAAAAAGGTACTCCTGTTCACGTTTTCATCTAACCTAAAAACCACCAATTTATCACGCGACTGGAGTAACGTGATTCCACTTACCTCTGTAAATCACGTGTTTATGACCAAATAACCACTTGACCAAGCAATGAGTTCTTTGTCCGTTAACCGATGGTGGTGATAAATAAGTAATTATTCGGTCTTGTAAGCACCTTAATCGATTGGTTTCACAGGTTATCCAGGTTGATGGTAATAATCACGTTACTTTCACCGGCTAATCGTCTTATTGTTCTGTCCGTGAATCTCTGGTTATATTAAATTAGTAATTCTGAGGTGTCTTACACACCTCTTTAAATGGTTTCAAAGTTACCATAACTTTCTTGGTTATGATCACGTAGCTAAAACTGATTTTTTAATCTAAGCTGTGTATCCGTGATATTTAGGTGTGAAAAATTGGTAATTATTAGGTGTCTTAAAACACTTATTTAAATGGTAGTCAAAGTTGCCAGCAGTTCTGCGGTGATGATCTCGTGACTCAAACGGATTATTAATCTAAGCTGGGCATAAGTGACTTTTAGGTATGAAAAATTGGTAATTATTAGGTGTCTTAAAACACCTTTTTAAATGGTTTCAAAGTTACCATAACTTTATTGGTGATGATCACGTAGCTAAAACTGATTACTAATCTAAGCTGTGAATTCGTTATATTTAGGTGTGAAAATATAGTAATTATTAAGTGTCTTAAAACACCTATGTAAATGGTAGTCACAGTTGCCAGCAGTTCCGCGGTGTTGATCTCGTGACTCAAACGGATTATTAATCTAAGCTGGGTATTCCGTGATTTCCAAGTGTGAAAAATGAGTTATTTCTGGGTGTCTTGATGGTTTCACAGTTACCATCTAAGTTCCGTGGTGATAATCCCGTGTCTGTTGGCATATTTCTATTTTCACCAGTTGATAACTGACTGTTGGCATCTTTTCATTGCACCAGTTGATAACCGGTGTGTGTGCATATTTCCAGTTGCACCAGTTGATGACTGCGGGCTGACTGTTGGCATGTTTCCAGTTGAACCAGCTGACACAAATTAATTTGCATATAGAATATGGGGTGCGTGCAGATCTATGTTTTTTAAACAGTTTATCCGAATTTACAGCATATTTCTTAATTACTGATGATTTAGTTATATGCAATTCATTTCGAAAATACTACAAATATAAATTACCAGTTATTAGGACATTTCGCTACTTCGTATAAATTACATTTAATTAAACATGAATAAGGAAAACATTAACTAGAACCAAAAATAATTTCAATAAAATACAAGTATATGACAAATTTTCGATTAATTAAGTTATGTAAGTCTACTTATTACCAATGCCTTTACATTGGAAATACAGACGTACCAGTATTGAAGTGTTGTTGCCGTTCAACTGGTTGGAAGTTTTACCAAATGGTTCTAATGGCTCAGCTAGACCAGTTGAATAACTGGTCTGGACCAACTGGATCATTTAGCCCATTTCAATTTCCGGGGTTACCAGTTGGCATTAACTGGTTCATCAACTGGACCAGTTGCAACTAGCTTTCTCCTCTGGGATGTTTGCAACCACCCCCGACCCCCCCCCCCCCCCAACCCCCTCTAATTCCAAACTGCTTCCGGCGCGCCTGGACGTAATTATGGAAGACGGGATGAGAACGTCATTATTTTGGTTTATTTATTGTGTAACATTTGCGTAATTATTGGGTTGAACGCAGGTATTTTGACTAAAACTATCACTAACGCTTCACGTGTTTCTGTGACGCGATAATTTCGTTTATGAAGATGTAATTTCATAACCAAAAAAACACGGGAGTATTAGGTTTCCAAACCATGGTCTCCAAGGTAGGGATAATCACGTTATTATAATGGTGATATTGCAGTGACAATTGCGTGATTTAGTGTACGTGTGTTTTAAGTGACCTAGTGCAATAAACGTATTAACACATTTACGTAAATGTCCGGTGTTTGAAGAACGTAACTCTCCTCAAGTCGATACCTTGATATTGACGTGATTTTCACGTGATTTTGTTTATTGGGAAGGTATGTTTGGCGTTTAAGATTGCTCCCCCCAAAAAAATAAAAAATGAATTTGGCCTTAGGGTCAAGACGTTACCGTCTCCCTAGGTTAACAAGTGAAAACAAGGGTCCTGATAATTGCTATAATGCCCCTAGTATATGACTTTGAAATTGCATCAAATGTGACTCATATGAATGTATAGAACAGTTTTGGAAATGCCCCCCTCTCAAAAAAATGAAATGGAAGCTCTTATTACCAATCATGTGAAAGAATACGTTTGACTAATACGTGATGCTACAAATTTTACCGGGAAACCGCCTACTAATTGATATATTTGGTAAATTATCATATCGATCCGGCCTGGTTAGCTATCGCAAAATCCCATATACATCTGTGTACAGTGCTTGTAACTTTACCAAGACTGGGCAAAATTTCTTATCATTTTGATGATTCCACAACCTTGCAGTACACACCAATACTTATATGCTAGATGATCAACCTTTTCTGATCGATTCCACAACGTTTCTTTTACAATGCAATCGCATGACCAGAACTGGTATAGCACTGGTATAGACCTTTAAAGACATATGGACTGCCATAATATAATCTCGAAAAGCTAAGGAGACTGTGCATACAATTGCAGCAATATGAGTGCGCTTGACCACCGGAAGTATCTCAATTGCCATTGGTTAACACGCAAAGACAAGTCTTTAAAGTCGCTCATGCGTGTGTATATAAATGGCTGCACAACGTTTTACGCACGGGAACATAATACCCGTTGCCTCAGTGTAATGTTATTTACGTAGTGATCGCCAAATCACCCACGCATGAACATCTTTAAGAATGAACCTCCCCTAGAACCTCTTTGAAAGGATGTGAAATGGGATTTATATGAAATTTGAAAACATGAACTACCATATAACGTTAACTCGAAAAGCTGAGGTGACCTTGCATCAATTTACAGCAATATGCCTCCCTTTTGCCTTCCCAACCACTTGACAAGGCGATTCGTCTTTTGGACAAAGCTGCGCAAGCGCACTCCGTGGAAAGACATAAAGTCAACCTCCATAATTATAGGTTATCACGGGAATGCGCATTCCGTGGAAAGACATATAAGTCAACCTCCATATAGGTTATCACGGGAATGCGCATTCCGTGGAAAGACATATAAGTCAACCTCCATATAGGTTATCACGGGAAAGCGCATTCCGTGGAAAGACATAAAAGTCAACCTCCATATAGGTTATCACGGGAAAGCGCATTCCGTGGAAAGACATATAAGTCAACCTCCATATAGGTTATCACGGGAAAGCAAGATTCTTTTGAAGCCTATCTGCACTAGCTTGGCCAGGAGGGATTAGACCTTCCTGCGTGGTTACTGGCATGGGGACCATGGGGATCAACGGGTACCGCTTAGGTATTGTTGGCTGTATATAGAGGGCGCAAGTAGCTACAAGTAGTGCAGTCTCGCCTTAAGAGGTTATAATTCCACTAGTATAATCTTGAAATCGCGTCAAGTAAGACTCAATTTGTGAATGCATAATGTGTGTGTGTGCATGCGAAGAGAGAGAGAGAGAGAGAGAGAAAGAGAGAGGGGTGGAAGTTTGACATGTTGAACAACTTCTAAAACAAGTCGCCCATACTTAAAGCAACAGGAAAAGTGTATACTTACTTTCGCAGTTCGGACCGACATAATAGTTTGGGCATGCACAGAAATATGAATCTCCTTGGTCCTCACACGATCCTCCATTAAGGCATGGCTCGCTGCTACATGGACGGGGTGTACCTGGATAAAAAAAATTAAAAAAAACAGTGTTAACAATAGCTTTGCTTTACTCCTTGTTGATTGAGATCGACTACACAAATATGAATGAAAAACCAGTAAAGTCAAAAAGGTTATTCTGAGTACATGAACAAATATTCTAAAGACTTTGATGTTATGTTAAAATTATTCCTAACAATAGATATAATACCATTTAGCATGTGGACAGATATCAAAATCATTGATAGCAAAGAAAACTATAATATAATTGTGCTTTACGTTACAATGAACAAGCTTGGCAGCTGCAGGTTAGAGAAAATTTACAGGTGGAAGAAATACAAAGATAAAAAGAGAGAGAGGAAGAAAGAGATAGAAAGAGACAGTGATCGGGTAGAAAGGATGAAAAGTTTGTGAGAATGGAACAGAGAAAGGGAAGAGCTTAAGAGCTAATGAAAGATTTTTTAAATGGGCAGTAGCTTTAGAGAGAACGACGAAAAGAGGAAAACATGAAGAGCTAGTGGGAGAGAGAGAGATAATGTGCAAGTAACTTCTGAAAGGTATCTTATCTTTAATATCTTGAAATCCAAAGCCGACTTAAGACTCAGAACTCGTTCTGTATATATTTTCTGACATGGCAATAGTGAGTGAGTGGCATTACACAGTGCCAATAATACATCGGCTTGTCAGACACTAAATCTAACACCATAGCAAAGACATTCGAGATATAGACCCGAGGCCAATTTCAACACCTCATCGTATATCCCACGAATAACGAAATTTCTCACTATTCACATATTGCAATGTGTGATGGACGACGCTATTGAAATTGCCTCAGGTTATAGTTTTTAAAATGATTGTGTTAACCATACTGTTCGGCTTTGACTATACCTTGTTCGCAGTAAACCCCAGTATAACCGTGTGGACAAGTGCAGTATGGTTCTCCATTCGGCGCGACGCAGGATCCTCCGTTCAGACATGGGAATGATGCGCATGGGTCTGTACCAGAAACTGTCGGAAAGTTCAAAATTTAACGATAAAGAAAAACAATTATCGATATTTGAAGTAAAATCGATAAAGAACCAAAATTTTAACACAAAGTGATGCAATACTTCCAATGTCAGAACATCCTGTATACTTTGGAAGCATTTGTCCCCACCACTGTCTCCCACTCGCCCAACCATATCCCAATCATTCGTATTGAACTTACAATCCATTGTAGTTATTATATAGGGCTACGTCATGATTTCGGATGACTATACACCGTTGCCCATAACGTGGGAATAATGTTTTTCCTATTTTCGTGCAGTAATTGTGAGAGATTATGATTTACTGTTGATAGATAAAGCTCATATCTTGTCAGAACTTCATTTATAAATCTAAAGATTCACAGAGATCGATCAATAAAAAGTTTTGTCAAAAACAAAGACTTCATCTATCAAGAATAAATCATTATCTCACAATCATTTTAGAAAACGAGGTTTTAAAAAAATATTCTAACTTTCTTGGCATCAGTGTATATCGAGTGTACATTCTTAAGATTGAAAAAAAAGCCTGGTAAAACAGGTAGAGTCCTAAAGAATGGGATTTTATTCTCGTTTTCTAGAGGTTTGATCAGGTTCATGATGTAAATGAAGAAATATTACAGAGTGTATATGAAAACTTACATTCACAATGCTCCCCATTAAACAAATATTTGCAGGAGCAAACGTAAGAGTCTCCTTGATTGATACACGTCGCACCATTTTGACAAGGATGGCTTGAACACGGATTAGTAGAGTCTGCAACAAAACCAGCAGAAATCACGTGATTCATATTCACACGTTTCGATATTACAGAACATGTTATTAAGAAGTATAATACTGAAAAAATCTTAGTTTTCTCGGAAAATGGAAGAATAGGCATTGATTATGATAATAATCATAATGATGATTATGATAATAATGATAATTGAAATAATAATAATAATAAAAATAATACTCTGTAATATAATAATCATTATCATTATCATAATAATCATTATCATTATCATAACATTTATCATTAGTGCTATTATCTAATAAGCGCTATATAAAAACTGAGTATTATTATTATTATTATTATTTTTGATATTATTTTCATCATTATTGTTATTATTATTATTCTTATTTTGTGTACAAAAGGAAGCCTCACTATCATCAATGTTGCTCTTTCTCCTTCGACATTTTCCTCAATACAGAGATTTGTGATCTTAGCTTAGAAACGAAATGCAAATTGTTTCTCAATATTTGTCGTCGCCTTTTCTGCTTACAAAGAGATTTTATTAATGTTCGTTAGAACTTACATTCGCAGTTTTCACCATAATATTGGTACGGGCAATCACAATAGTATGATTCTGCATACTGGACACACACTCCATTATTGACGCAAGGCTGTGATAAACATGGGTCCGTAATACTAGCTGGATAAATGAGCAAGGAATGAAATGCGGATTGAACTCAATGTCATATTTGTAAAAATCTACTTATATTCTGGGTGTTTATCGCAATAAATGTATATATAGTTATAAGAAGAGAGTGTGTGAGGGAACCTTGAAGGTTCTGAATGGCCAAAAATCAAGATCGTCCGGGGGCTCTGCCCCTTGTTTTAACAATACTGTTCGACTGTAAATGTACCTTGTTCGCAGTAAACCCCAGTATAACCGTGTGGACAACTGCAGCATGGTTCTCCATTCGGCGCGGCGCAGGATCCTCCGTTCAGACATGAGAAAGATGCGCATGGGTCTGTACCAGCAACTGTCGGAAAATTCAAAGTCAAATAAATAAATGATAGTAATAGTAATAGTTATAATAATAATAATGATAATAACAATAATTATTCTAATAATGAAAATAAAAATCTGTATTGTAATAATCATTTTGTTCGTTTTTACATGAGAAAGATGCGCATGGTCCGTTCCAGAAACTGTCGGAAAGTTCAAAATTTAACGATAAAGAAAAACAATTATCGATATTTGAAAATCGAAATGTTTTCAACATTTAAAGAACCAAAATGTTACCACAAAGTGATGCAATACCTCCAATGTCAGAACATCCTGTATACTTTAGAAGCATTTGTCCCCACCACTGTCTCCCACTCGCCCAACCATATCCCAATCATTCGTATTGAACTTACAATCCATTGTAGTTATTATATAGGGCTATGTCATGATTTCGGATGACTATACACCATTGCTCATATAGTGGGAATAATGTTTTTCCTATTTTCGTGCAGTAATTGTGAGAGATTATGATTTACTGTTGATAGATAAAGCTCATATCTTGTCAAAACTATTTTATAAATCTAAAGAATCACAGAGATCGAGCAATACAAAGTTTTGTCAAAAACTAAGACTTCATCTATCAAGAATAAATTATTATCTCACCAATCATTTTAGAAAACTAGGTTTAAAATAAATATTCTAACTTTCTTGGCATCAGTGTATATCGAGTGTACATTCTTAAGATTGGAAAATTAAAAGCCTGGTAAAACAGGTAGAGTCCTAAAGAATGGGATTTTATTCTCGTTTTCTAGTGGTTTGATCAGGTTCATGATGTAAATGGAGAAATATTACAGAGTGTATATGAAAACTTACATTCACAATGCTCCCCATTAAACAAATATTTGCAGGAGCAAACGTAAGAGTCTCCTTGATTGATACACGTCGCACCATTTTGACAAGGATTGCTTGAACACGGATTAGTAGAGTCTGCAACAAAACCAGCAGAAATCACGTGAATCATATTCACACGTTTCGATATTACAGAACATGTTATTAAGAAGTATAATACTGAAAAAATCTTAGTTTTCTCGGAAAATGGAAGAATAGGCATTGATTATGATAATAATCATAATGATGATTATGATAATAATGATAATTGAAATAATAATAATAATAAAAATAATACTCTGTAATATAATAATCATTATCATTATCATAATAATCATTATCATTATCATAACATTTATCATTAGTGCTATTATCTAATAAGCGCTATATAAAAACTGAGTATTATTATTATTATTTTTGATATTATTTTCATCATTATTGTTATTATTATTATTATCCTTATTTTGTGTACACAAGGAAGCCTCATTATCATCAATGTTGCTCTTCCTCCTTCGACATTTTTCTCAATACAGAGATTTGTGATCTTAGCTTAGAAACGAAATGCAAATTGTTTCTCAATATTTGTCGTCGCCTTTTCTGCTTACAAAGAGATTTTATTAATGTTCATTAGAACTTACATTCGCAGTTTTCACCATAATATTGGTACGGGCAATCACAATAGTATGATTCTGCATACTGGACACACACTCCATTATTGACGCAAGGCTGTGATAAACATGGGTCCGTAATACTAGCTGGATAAATGAGCAAGGAATGAAATGCGGATTGAACTCAATGTCATATTTGTAAAAATCTACTTATATTCTGGGTGTTTATCGCAATAAATGTATATATAGTTATAAGAAGAGAGTGTATGAGGGAACCTTGAAGGTTCTGAATGGCCAAAAATCAAGATCGTCCGGGGGCTCTGCCCCTTGTTTTAACAATACTGTTCGACTGTAACTGTACCTTGTTCGCAGTAAACCCCAGTATAACCGTGTGGACAACTGCAGCATGGTTCTCCATTCGGCGCGGCGCAGGATCCTCCGTTCAGACATGAGAAAGATGCGCATGGGTCTGTACCAGCAACTGTCGGAAATTCAAAGTTAAATAAATAAATGATAGTAATAGTAATAATAATAATAATGATAATAACAATAATTATTCTAATAATGAAAATAAAAATCTGTATTGTAACAATCATTTTGTTCGTTTTTACATGAGAAAGATGCGCATTGGTCCGTTCCAGAAACTGTCGGAAAGTTCAAAATTTAACGATAAAGAAAAACAATTATCGATATTTGAAAATCGAAATGTTTTCAACATTTAAAGAACCAAAATGTTACCACAAAGTGATGCAATACCTCCAATGTCAGAACATCCTGTATACTTTGGAAGCATTTGTCCCCACCACTCTCTCCCACTCGCCCAACCATATCCCAATCATTCGTATTGAACTTACAATCCATTGTAGTTATTATATAGGGCTATGTCATGATTTTGGATGACTATACACCATTGCTCATATAGTGGGAATAATGTTTTTCCTATTTTCGTGCAGTAATTGTGAGAGATTATGATTTACTGTTGATAGATAAAGCTCATATTTTGTCAAAACTACATTTATAAATCTTAAGAGTCACAGAGATCGAGCAATACAAAGTTTTGTCAAAAACTAAGACTTCATCTATCAAGAATAAATTATTATCTCACAATCATTTTAGAAAACTAGGTTTAAAATAAATATTCTAACTTTCTTGGCATCAGTGTATATCGAGTGTACATTCTTAAGATTGGAAAAATTAAAAGCCTGGTAAAACAGGTAGAGTCCTAAAGAATGGGATTTTATTCTCGTTTTCTAGTGGTTTGATCAGGTTCATGATGTAAATGAAGAAATATTACAGAGTGTATATGAAAACTTACATTCACAATGCTCCCCATTAAACAAATATTTGCAGGAGCAAACGTAAGAGTCTCCTTGATTGATACACGTCGCACCATTTTGACAAGGATTGCTTGAACACGGATTAGTAGAGTCTGCAACAAAACCAGCAGAAATCACGTGAATCATATTCACACGTTTCGATATTACAGAACATGTTATTAAGAAGTATAATACTGAAAAAATCTTAGTTTTCTCGGAAAATGGAAGAATAGGCATTGATTATGATAATAATCATAATGATGATTATGATAATAATGATAATTGAAATAAAAATAATAATAAAAATAATACTCTGTAATATAATAATCATTATCATTATCATAATAATCATTATCATTATCATAACATTTATCATTAGTGCTATTATCTAATAAGCGCTATATAAAAACTGAGTATTATTATTATTATTATTATTTTTGATATTATTTTCATCATTATTGTTATTATTATTATCCTTATTTTGTGTACACAAGGAAGCCTCATTATCATCAAAGTTGCTCTTCCTCCTTCGACATTTTTCTCAATACAGAGATTTGTGATCTTAGCTTAGAAACGCAATGCAAATTGTTTCTCAACACTTTGTCGTCGCTTTTTCTGCTTACAAAGAGATTTTAATAATGTTCGTTGGAACTTACATTCGCAGTTTTCACCATAATATTGGTACGGGCAATCACAATAGTATGATTCTGCATACTGGACACACTCTCCATAATTGACGCAAGGCTGTGATAAACATGGGTCCGTAATACTAGCTGGATGAATGAACAAGGAATGAAATGCGGATTGAACTCAATGTCATATTTGTAAAAATCTACTTATATTCCGCATATTCATACATTGCTGATCGTCAACGAAACGGAGTTAAGTCTTTTGTCACTTCTGTTTGTTGCAACGGCAGGCAGCAGGTGAAACGAATTCGTTCAATCAAATTATGGAAATGCAAGCATTACTTTAAACAAACAGAACTTTGTAATTCTGGCTCATTTTTCCTGATTGAGGTGTCATATGAATGGGCAGAAAATGAACTTTCTAGAAATGTGATTTTCTCTTTGAAATTCAGATACCGCCCTAAAAACGATTTTTAGTTTCCTCTCTTCAAATTGTTTTTAATCACTCATGCGTGAAATATGCATCAAATAAATCGCATCAAATGAAAGACAGGGATCTAAGCTTTAAAAATATGTATCATTTATTAATTATAATTGTCAATAAGTAATCATAAAACATCGATAATTCTCGGTATCAATTTTTTCTTGGGCGCACTGTATAGCAATAAGTATATAAATATTATTATTAGGAAAAGTGTGTGAAGGAACCTTGCAGGTTCTGAATGGCTAAAAACTGGAGAGCGGCCGGGGGCTTTGCCTCCTTGTGTTAACCATACTATTCCACTTTGACTGTACCTTGCTCGCAGTAAACCCCAGTATAACCGTGTGGACAAGTGCAGTATGCTTCTCCATTCGGCGCGAGGCAGGATCCTCCGTTAAGACATGAGAAAGATGCGCATGGGTCTGTAGCAGAAACTATCCCAAAGTTCAAAGTTAAATAAATAAAGAATCATAATAAAATAAACTAGAAGGAACTTCGACTGCGCGCAGTCGAAAATGATGCATCCGTGATAGAGCAATTTTACAAACCAAACAGAAGCATTTTTTCAAATTCAAGTTCGATTGTAATCCATTAACAGGTTCTCAGAATATCGTGATTACAAGCTATTTCTCATATACATTTATGACCCTTTGATCTTTGACGTCATGAACCTAAAATCTAATCAGTTCAATGGCTTTGCGAGATATACATGTCCTAAGTTTGATTATAATCCATCCTTCCGTTCTAACGAAAATGCGATCACAAGCTATTTTTGCATACATAATGAGCCCTGTGACCTTTAAACTTTGACCTCATAACCCCCAAATCTAATTAACTCATTGGCTCTGCAAGATACACACAAGACCTAAGTAGGGCAGGAATCCATCAATCAGTTCTTGAGATAACGCGATCACGAGCTATTTTTGCATACATAATGAGCCCTGCGACCTTTGACGTCGTGACCCCAAAATCTAATCAAATCATTAGCTTTGCAAGTCACATACATGACCAAAGTTTTGCAGGAATCCATCCTTCGGTTCTTGAGATAACGCGATCACAAGAACGGGACGTACGGAATAATGATAATTATTATTATCATTATCATTTATATAATTATTATTATTATCATTATCATTTATATAATCATTATTATTATCAACAATATCATAATCATTATGATTGTTATTATCCTCATTTTGTTTATCCATGGAAGCCTCATTAGCATCAATGCACCTCTTCCTCCTTAGCCATTTTGTACATAATTATAGAGATTTGTGATCATAAAGGTGATACAAACATTTGGGAAATTTTGAAAATTTAGTGGATAGTGATTTTTTACAATTTTTATATAGTTGGATGCCCCTGTGGATGTATTCAAAACACTAGAAAATTTAAGTCCCTAAAACACTTCTGCATGCGAGAAAAATTGAATATAACAATTTTCCGAAGCTCCCGGTAAATTTTGATGAATTTCAAATAGCGCCTACGGCCGTATAGTGGTAGCTGCGACCATGAAAATCTCATAATATGTAGTTGTGATATATAATTTTCAATTTTTCTGCTTCCAAAGAGATTTTAATAATGTTCGTTGGAACTTACATTCGCAGTTTTTACCATAATATTGGTACGGGCAGTCACAATAGTATGATTCTGCATACTGGACACACTCTCCATAATTGAGGCAAGGCTGTGATAAACATGGGTCCGTAATAGCTGGAGAAATGAACAATGAACGAAATGCGGATTGAACTCATATTTGTAAAAAAATCTAATATATTCTGGGTGTACATAGCAATAGATATGTATATATAGTTATTAGAAGAGAGTGTGTGAGAGAACCGCGGAGGTTCTGAATGGCTAAACTCAAGACCATACTGTTCCACTTTGACCATACTGTTCCACTTTGACTGTACCTTTTTTTGCAGTAAACCCCAGTATAACCGTGTGGACAAGTGCAGTATGGTTCTCCATTCGGCGCGGCGCAGGATCCTCCGTTCAGACATGAGAAAGATGCGCATGTGTCTGTACCAGCAACTATCCGATAGTTCAAGTTAAATAAATATATGATAATAACAATAATAATAATAATTAAACAAATGGGTCCGTAATATCTTGATCTCCGAACAAGGAACAAAATGCGGATTAAACTCGATCATAAAAACTCGATTAAAATTTATCATATTCTGGATGAGCATAGCGATAAATATTGTTACCGGGAGAGAGTGTGCGGGAGAGAAAATTGAGTTTCAATGAAATACACCAATTGGGCTCTGCAAATTTCAATGAATAGATTAGAGTTTATATCGCTCAAAACTTTGAGGTTCTTAGTGGCTAAACCTCGAGAGCATTCGGGGGCTGTGCATGCCCCTTGTGTTAACAGTACTGTTCGACTGTAACTGTACGTTGTTCGCAGTAAACCCCAGTATAACCGTGTGAACAACTACAGTATGGTTCTCCATTCGGCCTGACGCAGGATCCTTTGTTCAGACATGAGAAAGATGCGCATGGGTCTGTACCAGAAACTATCCGAAAATTAAAAATTTAATGATAGAGAAAAAACTTATCGATATTTGAAATGGTGCACTGCTACCAATGTCAGAAAATCCTGTATACATCGGAAGCTTTTGCCCCACCCCCTTTTCCCCGTTCGCCCAACCATATCCATGGGCTCGTGCTAATACCCGCTACCCGCTTTCATATAAAAGGGGTTGTGTGAATTTGAAGAAGAAAGTTACCGAGGGATCTGGTAATGAGGATTCATGCCTTACCAAAGGGCACTAGCGCATCGATTTGGTTTCGAACCCGGGTCACCGGGTTACGAGACCCCTGCTCTACTGACTGAGCTATCGCGCCTCTCATGAATGGATATTTGTCCATTAAACAAACCTACATCCAAAGTAAATGAGAATTGAGCATAATGCCCCTTTAAAATGAGCTTGCTGTGTAAAGGTGTTTCCGGCAATTTACAAAAACATAAGCGATGCTCACTTTCCAAACGTCTGCACTTAATTTGATAATAGCGTTGAGTTGTATCACAAACTGCTGTGCACAAAATTTGCGGATAGCCGAATATCCTTTTTACTGATATCAGATAATTTTACTTTTATTTCAAGCATGAAGAAATCCGTGAGTGACAATAATTCAATATATATATATATGTCAGATATAATGTATGTGACACATCATTCCACAGCGTTTATGTGTCCATCGAAAATCTTTACCGTCTTACTAATACGGCTAGTAAACTCTGGGGGACAATCACACCATCCCCAATTAGGAGATGGTGTACAAGCATTGCTATTTTGACACATTTTATCCGAGCATTGGTAACTTTTTTAACAAAAATGCCAATTATGATACACTAGTATACATTAGTGATGATAACGACTAAAACAATTACAATGTTTTTCTGAAAAGGGGTTACTGGTGTAAATTTTTACTTTTCTGAGTAGCAGTGTATTTTACCAACTATTTCATTTTGTTCTATATGTTTGTGGAACCTTGTAAGGACAAAGTAAAATTGAGCTAGACATTTGCAGTAGCTTATATTCCGTGCAGATCATCACTTAACATGAAAATCAAATCAAAATTAGTGAGCACATTTTTTTTTGGGCCCTCGAAAATTTAAAAAGATTGCACCCCCCCCCCCCCCCTTGAGAGCCAGGGGGGGCATCTCCCAAAAAAGGGTAGAATTAACGTGTTTTTACACGTTTTTTCCGGGGGGCGGGCCCCCTGGATCCGCCACTATGAGGGGGAAGGGGCGCATATGCCCCTGTGCCTTCGTAGCTGCACCAGTGTGTGTCATTACCGTATTGACAATAGACGCCAAAGGCTTCAGGAGCGCAAAAGCAAACGTAGTCTGAATCATCTAAAGGAAAGCAAGTCGAGTCTCCTTCACAAGAATTATTCCAGCATGCCGTCATGTTCGAATCTGTAGAGACACAAACAAATAAATCACTGGTAAAAGTGACATTTCCTACAAGAGTTCGAACAATGTACATCGACTCTGTATTGGAATTAAAATATCTAACTTATACATTAACTTTTTTTTAAATTTAATAATTTTGTTTTATTCCTCCAATAGTGTAATACAAACATACATTTGAAACGTTTACAACATTGATTGCTTATACATAAACATAAATAAACAAAAACTCATATGCAGTATATATAACAGCAAAAACTGAAGGTCAACTTAGAGTACATAAACATAAGTTATAAGTCAATTGTACATATTATTCACTTATAATAACAAAAACAACAACCCAAAAAAATTATATATTTAAAAAAACCAAAACAAATGGAGGTTATTTTACTGGTACTCCCAGATCTCCCTCCCTCACACAAACACAAACACACACACACACACACACACCACATTCACACACACAAGCATACAAAACACACACACCAAAACACATCCTATCACACACCACAACAAAAGTTGCCACTCTGTGAAAATTTGCACAATCTTATATTCCAAGAGCTCCCACCCCCACCTCCCCCGTCCCAAAGGAAACATAAAACTATACATATAGGCTCCTAGTAACATGAATGCCCCTAGTTACAAGCAACCAAATCACATGAACCTCTCTTAGCCCTCTCAGTACAAAAGTTTGATAGGTCACATTTCCTGATTGTGAACCTAGTATACATATGCCGAAACGGAATGCAGTTGATAGTAAAACTAATAAGAGCACAAAATAAAACACTAACACAAACACATACACGCAAACACACACCCACACCCAAATACGCACACACACGAATAAACAATACCCCACATGCACACGAACGCAAACCTTTTACACATTGTATTTCCCTAGACTTTTGAGAAGAACATATACCATAGCGATGAGAGTTACGGAGAATTGTGGCTAATCAACAAGAGGCAAAGTTACGAAGCTGCATCTAACATCCTTCATTTAGTGACTTGGGTCATGATTGTTAAGGTCGTCAGAGGATTAATTCAAATCGCTACTGATGGAGTATTTGGTGGAGCTTCTTGCCTAAGGGCAGCAGTGATTATATTTATCTTTTAAGCTCCTGCCAAATATTAGGCACGTTATGTAATGTTATTTTACGCTGATATGACTAATAAAATAATATGAAGGTATACTGACCAAGTTCACATCGTAGTCCTTCATACCCAGGAAGACAATAACAGGAGTAGGAACCAGATTCAACATCGCATGTTCCTCCATTTTGACATGGATTGGGTGAGCATGATACATCTGAAATGCAATAAAAACCGAGAACTAGTATGGTACATCATGTTTGATATCAGACCATAACTGAAATTAAAGATAAAATGCGCCTGGATAAAAACTGTTGATGAAATTAATGAGTAAAAAATCACTTGACTTAAACTGAATTTAGTAAATTTTCTTGTTATATTTACCAAAGTTGAAGAATTTTTTTTTTGATTTCAATTAATCCACCGCTTATAGACCTATATATTTAATTCCAAGCCCATCGAAATGATGAAATCTGTGAATTCATATAGTAATGATTATAATAACAGTAATGCTTTATTTAATATATAGCGCTTTTAATAATTAACAATTCTTCCTCTATGCGCTCGAAATAAATTCACATATTAAGTTAGTCTTTAATTTAGACTTGATTTCAGATCTTTCCTTCGCACAGAAGATAGAGACAATCACAAAGAAATCGAAAAATCATCCTTTCCATATTGGGCAATTTCAGTAGCCTTGTCCGTCATTTATTAAAAAGCATGGACATTGCAATGATGTATTACGTAATCCCAACATTGTTTATAAGGGATATACAATCGCGTAGTGAAGTTGCCTTCGTATTGCTTTCTCGAAAGTCTTTGCGATCGTCTTATACAGCAAATCTTTATTGTTTTTGGTTAAGAATTACTCGGAGCCATAATCATCACGCTTACCATGAGCTTGCACGCAGGATGCAGCTACAAAGAGTAGCGCAATTGTCACCAGGTTCCACATTCGTCCCATGTTGCCTCCCAGAGAAATCTCCTCAAAAGTGAATTTCGGATGGCTTTTCTAGGTTGCTAAAGACAGCTTGGAGGAAAGCGGTGGGTGGTGGTCAAGTCGGCAAAGACCTAAATAAAGAAGGACGGGAATGTTCACAATCACGTTTTGATTGGTGTTTGAGGTAGGCACACTGTCAATAATACAAACTATGAAAACATATTTCGGACAAAAGCACTGACGTCATTGACAGGGTTAGGTCTTATTTGTATTGTGTGCACTCGAATAAGTGAC